AGGCTTGCTTATTAGAATATTTGGCTCATTAAATGGATGAGCATTTGAGAGTCTTGTTACTTCGGCTTCAAGAGTTACCTTTGGCTTTTACTCTCTTGGTGCTTCGGGCATCGGTTGCTTCCTATTTTCTAGTTCCTTTCTACATGATTGAGTTGACAATTCTCCTTTTGATGGTTTTCTTGCTTCTTCCCTTGTTTCCACAGTTTCTAGCATAAGAGAAGGGGCTTGTGATGAGGGAGTGAGATAAGGAACTTGTGGTGGATTAGGTGCTATTGAATAGGGCTCAAGTGGTTCAAGTAATGGAGGTAAGCTTGAAATGGGTTCTTTGTTAGTTGCCTCACTCTCCTAGGTCTAAAATTTGCCCATATTCTCCCCTTGAGTCGAAGGTTTTGGATAAAATATGGTATCTTTAAGAGGGGGTAACATCATGATTGACAAAAAGTTGTTTAGAGATGGGATCATAACACTTGTAACCCTTTTTTGTTGGTGAGTAACCCAAGAAGATACATTTAACAACATGGGGTTCAAGTTTAGGACCGTGGTGAAGATGAATGTTTATAGCCAAAGGCGCAGAGAGGAGTTTAGTCTCAACATGGGATGTGGGATAAATACTTGGGAGTTTGTTTAAAGGTGCTCCATAGCACAATAGCTGACTTGGCATTCTATTTATGAGATGTCATAGTGAGAATAACATCCCCCATAAATATTTTGAAACAATATGAGTGAACATAAGGGTTCTTGTGGCCTCTAGAATGTTTATGTTCTTCACTCAACTATTCCATTTTGTTGTGAGGTATGAACACAAGTGCTTCTGTGGATGATGCCTTCTTGGAGAAACATACTTTGGATTTGGTTGAAATATTTAGTGCCATTATTAGTACGTAAGACTTGAATACTGTAATGGAATTGGTTCTTTGTCATAGGGTAGAAATCAGGGAGCACAAGTGAAACCTACATTTGTCCTTTAAAAGGTAAACCTAATAGATAGGTATGGTCATTTGTGAAGGTAACGAACCACTTATTATTGGTGCGGTTGGCAACACTTGATGGTCTCCACAAGTCACCATGCTTGGTTGTGGAAGGTTTTGTAGGTGTATATTTGGCTTTAGGAAAAGGAAGTTCGGTAGTGTTTAGGAAGTTCACACATCTCCCACTAAATTTCATTGATATTTTGTTTTGGATGTAGATTGGGCAACAATCATTGTAGGTTGAAGATTAGGGTAACCCATCCTCTTATGGCATAACATGAAATTATTGATCTTTGAAGTAGATGCAAAATGACTCACTATAGCTAAGTGTTGGTTACTCACTTGAGTAACTTAGAAATGGTAAAGCCCCTCATAAACCTTTGTACTTCCATTTGTCACCCTCAAAGATGGGTCCTTAAAAAAACAATCGGACTAGCAAAATTTAGTACAACAATTGGACTATTTAGTCAATTGGCTAACTGAAGGTAAATTTGTGGAATAACGTTCATATGTTTGTATCTCTATTATAGTGCACTGTACACAATATATAGAAGAGAGGAGGGAGGAGAGGATCCTAAGAGACTAAATGATGTAGATTAGAGAATATTCAGATAGTAACTCTCCGCAATGTTTTCCTTAATATCCTCCTCAATGGTCATAAACCATAATGAATTTGATTTATTACAGTAAATATCAGGTTTAGGCACATGAAGAATGGATTCCAAGAAAATTGAGTTTAAGAAATTTAGTGCAACTGCTGGACTATTTAGTCATGTGATCTAATGCTCCAAATCATTGCATGAGGTAATTAATGCTTGAAGGAAATTCTTTTTGTTTTGGGTTTTTTTTTTTGGCTATTGATGCTATGGTCACATCCTCCCTACTATTGTGATAAGTGCCTTTGAGATTAGGCTTTGATTTGGAGAAGGGCGAAGAAGTGACATTGCTAACGAAAGATGACTATGAATTGAGTGACATTGATCTTGGAAATGATCAATGATGAATGATATGTTTAGTTTTTTTAAGTTGGGGTTTTGAACTGTGGTAGTGATTTTACTGATTTGAATTGATTTTGGGGACTATTAGTGATTTTTTTTTTTGGGTGCTACTGGTGCCATGGCCACATCCTCCCCACTATTGTGATAAGTAGCTTTGAGATTAAGCTTTGGTTTGGAGGAGGGTGAAGAAGTGACATTGTTAACGAAGGATGATGATGAGTTGAGTGATATTGATCTGGGAGATAATGATAAGTGATGAATGATATGTTTAGTCGTTTTAAATTGGGGTTTGAATTGATTTTGGGGACTATTTGTGATAGGATATAAGAATACCTGTGTTATAAGAAAATTTTCAATTTATCATTTCCATGCAAGTTGGCTTTCGTTAGTAGTTAAGTATTAGCAAGTTGTCATCAAGTTTCCTTCTAGTAAAGGAAGCCAAATTGGATTTTGCTTTCATATTTTATTTGGAAGTTGTCATAAGGTTTTCTTCTAGTGAAGGAAGCCAAGTTTGATTTTGTTTGTATATTTTATTAGGAAGTTGTCATCAAATTTCCTTCTGGTGGAGGAAGCCAAATTTGATTTTGCTTCTACTAACAAGTTGTTATCAATAGTACTTCATAAAGAAAGTAATCTTGAAGAAGCCTATGTATTACAAGACTTGATGAATGAATATTTTGAGCTTATGAGATCTCTTTCTCTCTCTTCAGACTCTCTTACTTCCTCCCTAGATTCTGTTTTGTTCTCCCTCCTCAGTTCTGTTCATTCTCCCCATTCTCTTTCTCTATCTCTCCCTATTTCTCCCTCTTACTTTCTCTATTTCTGCACCTCTTCCTCATTTTCTCTGTTTTTTTAATCATTTTGCCTAGAATCTCCTCTGTTCTGCATTAGATCTAAGTGTGTGTGAACGTGTTACATCTGTTTAGTATCAGAGCAAGGATGATAACGTTGCTAGGCTGCTTTTGTTACCTGAAAATCCAGAAACACTCATCGGAAAACCCTTATCAAACCACCAGATAGTTACCACTATCAGGTGCATACGGATAGACCCCCAGACCCCGTCACTGTCTAACGCGCCGGCAAAGCTCCTGCATGTTGGCTTCATGCACCGTTTATACAGGCCTCTTGAACATGCTTTTCTACAATGTTTTAGCTATTTTGCAACGTTTTCTTTATTCTAGCCGACCTAGAACACAAATCATTAGCTAGAAGCTTTATTTGGAGTAAAGTTCAAACCTTTTGCTCTTGAATCTATATGATGACTCAAATATTTGAAGAGGTAAAGGCATGATGTATAGTGGGCTTGAGAAAATCATGAATAGGCATCAAAAAGAGAAGGCAAGAGGAGTTTTCAAAAGACAAAGGAGTATAATAAAGTCAAGCTATAGAAATGGGCAATCATATATCCATGGTCAATCTAGGCTGGCATGTTATGGTCACGCTCTTGGACCTAATCAAGAAAATGGAAAGGCATCAGAGGAGTCCACAAAAGTAGAAGCCTCTTTTTGACGTCTAGAAGTGATACCTTCTGTGGAGTCCATTCAGTACACTGATATGGCCCTACAACATCTTCCCCACAACAGGCTCCCATGAACACTTCGATGGTTGAGGTGAATAAGGACTCTGATCATCTTGCCATTCATAAGAAAGATTCTTCAATCAGTGATCAGGTTGTGCCTACTACACTAGTGAAAGTGTCACCATCCCACATTATAATTATCAAGGATCTACTTCATCATGCATCCACTCCACTACAATACCTGAGGTCATTCTATCATCTAGCGGATCTCTTCATGAGTATTTTGTTTGTTGGAAAGGCATTCCGTATATTTTCAAAAATTAACATAGTTTTTCTCTTCGTGGATTTCTTTTTCGATATCTAAAGGCAGGCAATTTAGCTGGCATAAGTGTTTTTAAGAAGCAAGAGGAGGCTGAATCAAAAGAAATCAGTCCAGAATATAAAGGTAATTGAATCAAGATTTTGAATTAATGACTAAGGATCATGAGTCATGAGCTGTAGTGATTCATCGTGTTGTAAATCTTGACAACATAGGTGTTCAAATTCATCAGATTTCTATTGCACATTGCACTCCTATTCTTCAAATTCATCAGACTCAGGCTGCACATTATCATGAAGTTGTTCAGGTTATGAAAGAGCATATTGTTTTCCTATCTAATGATAACCTCTTCAACTACCTTGTTTATTGGAAATGTTCTCCAAATCAGCACAATCAGAATGACTCTCTGCAGTGTCTCATTGTTCACTACCTTGTTCGTTGGAAAGGTTCATGGATTATATGCTACATAGAGGAATTCCCTGCGTTGTGTTCTATTGGACTTATGTCTTCAACTTTACTCTCCGGGGGAGAGTTCCTTCAAGTGGGGGAGAAATGATAGGAAAGAAAATTTTAAATTTATCATTTCTATGCAAGTTGGCTTTCCTTAATAGTTAAGTATTAGCAAGTTCTCATTAAGTTTTCTTCTAGTAAAGGATACCAAATTGGATTTTGCTTTTACATTTTGTTGTAAGTTGTTATCAAGTTTCCTTCTAGTGAAGGAAGCCAAGTTTGATTTTGCTTCTATATTTTATTAGGAAGTTGTCATCAAGTTTCCTTCTAATGGAGTAGGCCAATTTTGATTTTGCTTCTACTAACAAGTTGTCATCAAGATTATTTCATAAAGAAAGAAATCTTGATCTATAACTAGGAGTAAGAAGATGAATGAATATTTTGAGCTTATGAGATCTCTCTCTCTCTCACTCTTTAGACTCTCTCACTTCCTCCCTGAATTCTGTTCTGTCCCCCCCCCCAACGCTCTGTTCATTCTCCCTTTTCTCTTTCTGTCTCTCCCTGTTTCTCTGGCTCACTTTCTCTGGTTCTGCACCTCTCCCCTATAATCTCTCTCTGTTTTTAGCATTCTCGCTAAAATCTCCTCTGTTCTGCATTAGATTTGAGTGTTTGTGTGTGTTTTACATCAATTTGTCATTGATAATGCAATAATTTCTTACAATTTTTTTACCGGAAATATGGTGCAGATTTTTACTGATGCTGGTCAGTATGTGATCCAGTTTGGGACTTCTGATCCCAGCTCCAAGATTGGGCCTGCTAGGACGGTAGACTCTACTATCTTTATAACTTCACTGTTCACATGTTTTCTTTGCTAGTAGGTCTGATGTTCTTGGTTCAGATCCAGGACTTGGAAGTCGTTCGCCCATTGACCCTGTCAGAGAGAGCTGTAGCTCTTGCTCTTGCTATATCATTGGATAATGACTATTTCTCAAGGCGTCGAGGCTGGTGAGTTCTCTACCTGACTACCACATTCCAAGTAATTAAGCAAATGTAATTTTTAATTCTTAAGGGATACATGTATCCTTTATTTAGTCTAAAAATGTTATTCTTAGAGGCTCATTGTTTTACTTCCCAGTCCCTGCAACATGCGCATTTATCTTGGTTGTCTTATTTTTCTGTGACAGAAGACTTACAAGTAGGGATTTAAAAATTTTGTTCAGCTGTGAAGCAAGATTGAAAGACGAAATAATGTAAAGCGTGTTTTATTTGAGGACAAAAATCAGAAATAACTTGACAAATGGCAGCCTTTTCACTTAGGATATGCACCCTGCTGGGTTGGGCTGAAAGGCACCTGGAATATGAAAGAACAAAAATGACTTTAATTTGTATGCGATGTCTGTTGCACACTTATTGTCATCTCTCAACAAAATTTGTCTCCTTTTATTACCTTCTTGTTTGGGATCCAAAGGTCACTCCAATTATATTTAATTATCTTCCCATTTGCATACCTAACAATTCCTTGAACTAATCAAGGCCTAAATTTTGATGTTTATTGTTTCATGGGTTTTTTTTATTGGCCAGAATGTTTTTTGTTTGATGTTAGTCCTCCTTTTTATCCAATTCTTTTTATCATTATCTCTTTGGGGCAAAACACTTATTATTGTCACTCTTGTTATGATCTCAGTATTCATAACGGATCTATGCTGAGGCTCTGATTATGAATAAATATTTAATATATATTTATGTTTTATTATTTCTTTGATTATCTTTAACCTAGTTATGGATATTATATCTTCTGTTAATATGTAATATATCTTAGGAAAATAAATTTAAGATATTAGAATTAGTGAAAGATGTGATATTAGGGTTTGTTTCTACTTCTATTAAGACCCACTGCAATCTACATTTATTTTTGAATAAAGCAAACAAAGGCACGCTTTGCCCCTGTATTCTTCATAATCATCTTGAACAGTGTTATATTTGTTTCCTGTTCTGATCCGATTTCCTTTTGTAGTTAGAGATGCTTATTGACATTTTACTTTTTTTTTTTAGGGCACTACCTTTTATTGCAGTTGAAGAAATTTGACTTGCAGAATGTCTCATTTACCAGAAGAATAACCAGGTAGCATTTGTAATTATTTTGAAGGTGTTCTGACTTTTGAGGTGAACCTCGGGTTCATTTCGCTCAAGTACTTTGGATTATTACTGTAATCCAATGAAATTGGTAATGCTACTTGTTTCTTGCTGTTTCTGGAGCAAAAGGCATTGAGATAGTCATACATGATTTTTTTTTTTTTTTTAAATACCAGATAGTGATACATGTTTTACGTACATGGGTAGTCAATTATGTGTATAAATTGACATAACTTGCCAACAAAGGTTGCTCTAGTTGGTAAGGAGTTGCCTTGTAACTCACAAAGTTATAGCTCAAATCCCGCCGTTGATATAAAAGTCTTGTTGGTGGATGCTCTGTAAGTTTGTAAGCGCTTTTTAAGCTTGCGGACATGTCCTTGCCTTAGTGAGCCATGGGACTGAATTCGCCTAATTGTTTTTTGTATTAAAAAATTGACATAATTTCTATGGAAAGAATTGAGTCATTTTGGATATTTTTTATGGATTAAATGGTTATAGTATTTTTACATGTATTTCACTTGCTTCTCTTGTAACAGGGTTCTCATAACCACTATTCTCTAGTTATCTCCAATAATACTTAATGCATTTTTTTAGTTTTTGAAACTAAATTAGTCGATAGCTATAGTCACTAAATTTTTAAAAACATAATTAGTCAATCATGGAATTAAAATAGTTAATAGCTAAACAAAAGTAGTCATCAGAGTTTTAAGGCCTATTTGGTACCAAAAAAAATTTAGGACAGAAAAGGAAAATAGCATATTTCCCATTGATGTGTCGGGTTGCAACATTTTAAGGGAGACTAATTTTCGGTGGTAGCAGATTTTCCTTTATGCACGGGGAGATTGCTTCCCACCTCTCTTGGTGGGAACCCATTTTCGAGGGCAATGGAAAAATTTGAAAGACGAGTTTAGCCCTTGAAGTATTCCACATCCCCCCCCCCCCCCCAAAAAAACCAACCTTATGCTTCTTCGCCCTCTCCCGCCCGCCCGCCCAAAACCTCCATTGGACGATGTTCAAAGTCAATATTTGTAGAACATTGACAACCCAAAATTCGTAGGCTTCACCTTAGCATCTTCAATGTGATTTTCATGACAAGCTCTAACAACATCAACAATGATCGCTATCAATTTGACCACTCTTTCAATGTTGCTGAATTGTGAGTGAACCATGGGAGAGGAAGATTATTTTGTTACTAGCGACAATGTGTTCAATGATAGGACCCTTGCTCACTATTTCAATCATAATTTTAGAATTATGAATTATTTTTGAATGAGTCATGTTGCATTAGAAACCAGATAAGCTTTTTCATGACAGGTCATTTGCTTAATTTGAATTTAAATTGAAAAAGTTATATTTGATTAAAAGTTGCTCTGTTTAATACGTCAAAAATAGAGTATAACAAAGTTTGAGTAAACTCAAATTTTGTGTGAATGTTGAAATGTATCGTGTGTAAATTGGTTAAGTTTTAAGTTGCGAAAAGGAGATAAGTAAATTCAAATTTGAAGCAAGAAAATTTGAATTTGATATAATTCAAAAAAAATTTCAGCATATTCAAATTGGATACAATAAAATTCAAATTTTTTCCATCAGGTTTGAATTTCTTTGTTCCTTTACTTGTCACATTAAAGCTCAAATTTCATCAAAGATAATTTTATCAATTTAAATCTAAATTAAGCAAATGATTTATCATTGAAAAAGCTATTTGAATCTAGCTTTTAATGAAATAAAAGCCATCCAAAATTTCTTTATATTCATAAAGTTGTAATCAAAATTGCGAACAAAGGTGAAAAATGTTTAAACTTTGACCTGAATAATGTTATTGTAATATCTCATAAACTATAAATACTTTTCAAATGAAAATTATTTGATATAAATATAGGCTCAATCTGGTTTTTAGTGACACCTATCTAAATAATTTAATTACGCAATGTTACTCTATTTTTTGAAAATATTTGTGACATTTGTTGACTATTTTAAAAATAAATTTCAAAATATGAAGATTTTTTAAAAATTAAGCTTGGAGAGTTTTTCAATGATAGATCATTTGGCCCGTTTAAAATTAAATTAAGAAATATATGTTCACTTAAAATTCACGCTTTATTTGACTTTTGTTATAAATATTGTATATATGTGGATGTCTATAACCCCCAACTCTTAGGATTCTTCATAGGATTATTGATCTTTGAATGTCTTTAACCCATAACCCCCCAATGAATGACTTTAGAAGAGTTTGTCATGTTTATTGTCATTATTCCCTTATTCATTTCTTTGTAACTCTTGGATTAGACTTTTATGGTTGGGAGCCTATAAATAGAAGCCACATACAAGGCATATGTATCCATATATGTATATGAGAAATACTCCTTGTTTTCTCTCCCAATTCTTGTCCTGCTATCCTCTTTCTACTCTCTAACTCTCTTATTTTTATAACACGTTATCAGCACGAGTTTGCTCTAAAGATTTGAGGTATGAGCCCTTTGTAAATTAATATATTCTTATAGTATATGATAATACTTTCTACTAACTTCTCCTTACCCAACATTCTTTTTATTTTATTATCATGTCTAATTTTAATTTTCTATATATTTGTTATATATTATGTTGTTCTTTTATGTTATTTATTAATTTATTCTTTTTATACATTTTAATTCTATTATCTCCCCATTGTGATATTGTGTTATTTATTTTATTTATTTTTCCATACTTCTTGTTCTATTGTTGGTTTACATACATCTGTTTGGTTTATATTATGTCATTTTATATCTATCGCAGTATTATATATATATGATTATATAATGTTATTTATATAATTTATTGTGCCAATTTACTTGCATATTTATGAATATGAATTGTGAATATAATTTATTTTCATATCAATAGAATAGCCAAAAAAAAAAGGGTCATATTATGATATTGGTACTTTATTATGCTATTTGTGCGCAAATTAAAGAGATGATATATTGTTCATATTTTGTTTATTTATATGCTATTTGTATGATCTTAGTTTGAATGATTTATTGTGATTTATTGACAATAAATTTTATTGTGAGCATTTGAAATTATTTTCAGTTTAACTAAACAAGAAATTAGTTGAGAAAGAAAAGTTAAGTATTCATACAATGTGTAAATAATTTTTCAAAAGATATATTTGGAGTATTACAAATTAAATAAATAATATATATTAATGTTAAGAAGTTTTAACAATAAGTTCAATTTTACATTTTATTCTCAGAAAGTTTATTTTAAAAGATATTCTATATTTGTGTTCTTTTTAATTATATGAGTTTGTTTTTGAGAATAAATTAAGCTTGTGCAAATGATAATTATAGTTTAAAAAAATTATGATTATTGGATTAATTCAAACATTATTTAATTCTTTAAGTTCATACATTTTGAAAAAGTATAAAAGAAAATTGCATATCTACAATCAAATTAGTTTTTGCTGTGACATTTGAGAGAAAAAGATCATATATTTATGTCACATTTGAATTGAGAAAATGAAAATTTATTTAACTTTATGAGAAAATTTATTATAAATAGTTGATATTAATTTCAATTGGTTGGACAAAATCATCTTTGCAGTATGTGTAAATTCTATATATATTACAAGTTAAACTTATGATACTTATAACTATTTATTATTATGTATTACGATATTATTAAGATGAATTTGTCTCCTTATTCTTCTCAAATTACTTAGTTCCTGAAGAATTATGTGTAAAAATAATATTATAGTTCCTGAAGAACTAATACATATTTTTCTTTATGGGCAGATAAATAATTAATGGTAAAAAAATATGATCTATTGATCTACATTAGAACTTCGGTTTCAAAAGAGTCGGAAAAGTAATAGCCTAATCGAATTAAAATCCATAATTATATATGAACTAGGAAGTACTTGGACTTCCAAGTGATAGAGGTTATTAGCCTATTATATGCTAGTCACTGTTTTTGAAATGCATGAATAAGGAAAACATGTTTTTATGACTCACACTTGAGGGGGAGACTGTTGAAATACAAGTGTGAGTTGATGTTAGATAGAGTTTTACTTGAAACTTGTTATAGTAAACCAGAAGTTTACTCGCCCAATTAATGTATAGTTGGGGTGGCTTGTCTAATTATCATAAATGATTTATATGATGTAACAAATTATTGATGATTATGTATCGACATTCATTGAAGAACCAGAAGATTCTTCATGAATAGCCAACATATTATATGATCCAAGAATTCATATGCTGCTTACTCTCAATGAGAAATTGACTACATTGATATCACTAGTTATGATGTAAAATGGATCTTTACATTTCTGGAAGTATATCAAATTCATATATATGGGCCCATACCAATAGCATGTAAACCATACAAGTATGTAATAAATTTGATAGATGCATCTATAAGATGGTTACATGTATTATTATTAATTTGCAACCTGAAGTTTGCAAAATTATTTGAGTAATCATTATGTTGAGTGCACAAGTTTCAAACTATGAGATCCAGAAAATTTCTATTGAAAAAGATTGTGAATTTATATTCCAAATTTCAGTGATCAACATGCATTTGTTAGAAAAATAATTGAAAAGTCTACTTAACAGAACGATTTGGTAGAATTATTAGCCTCTATGAATGGCTAGATCAATACTTTTGAGAACAAGATCTTCATCTCAGGGTTGGCTTATTTAGTTTGATATGTTGCAACATTTATGCAAATCAAGCCAATAAAATTCTCCCAATAAAATTGGCTTTTGGTCAGGAGCCAAATACTTTCCATCTTAAAAGTTTGAATGTGCAATGTTTATGTCTATTGATCCACCACAATATACATATAGATGGATATAAAAAATTGGAATGAATGTTGGGTAAGAACCTCCTTCTTCTTGTTTGTATCTAAAAGAAACAAAAGGAATGTTTCTAAAAGAAGAAAACGAATTGAGGAGACTCATACTGCATGATTAATTGATTGTCATTCGACAAAATTTTCCCAACATGAGGGGGAGAAATTGAGTAGCTAGAAAAGATAGCATATAGAATGCATTATTATTATCAAGTATAGATCCTCAGTTATATGATAGTATGAACCAGAAGTTCATCAAAGAATGCATCCATGAGATATTACAAAATATGTGCCAGATGCCATTACTGACCTAAGTGAGTATTACTAAATCTCATATTCCAGCTGAAAATGCTCCAATTAGTATAAATAAAAGTGAGACATGCCTGAAGCATGAGAGATTAATCGGTTCCAATATAATTATATTGAATAAAAAGGAGCATGAAATTTAAAAGTTATATTAAGGAGGCATGTGCTCTAGAAGAGTACTGAGACATAACTAATTGAAAAAAAAAAAGCCCCAGAAGAGGTTCAGGTACCTAAAAAGTAATGAAGAGATCTCAATAAGTTATGTCACAAGAGGAAAAATGGAACCAAAAAGATAAAGTTGTCGACAACATTTTTTTATAATAATATCACGTGATTTTAAAGAGGATCTCATATGAAAATACAAATTTGGCCAAAAGCAAAAGGAAAAGAGAAAAGATGCAATGAAAATATAATTATTATTTTAATATGTGAAAATTATGGACCTGCAGTCC